TCACATCCCTACTTCTCAACATATCACCACCTCTTTCAATATGCCTTTTTGCCTATGTATCCAAACTTAAGGGATACCCTGTAGAATGGGTCAACTGAAATGTTATAATAATAAAGAAAGCAACAGCAAAAAAGACCAAGATCAACAGTTCAAAGAATTCTTGGCATCATCATGATTATCATTCCAAAATCTTACAAATGCGGCATTCTTGAGAGTCTTTATTCTGCAAAGATCCTGTGTAATGTCCATCTTTAAAGATTTGACATTCCAACATCCATTTATTCAATGTAAAGCTATGGCTTCCAACAATTCATCCCTTGGACTACACAATGAATGAACTTCACTCAAATATCTTCAAGAGGTCTCACAATAATACCTTGTAAACATATTCTTGTTAATCACAATTGATAGAACATTTGGTTCTCCTCTCTGTAAATCTATTCACTTACAAAATGGTGAAGATTTTATAACAACAAGAAAACATTGTAAGAGATCCTTACAAAAATATACAACTGCTCATGGTTGCTTAATTCTAAGACTTAGAAATCTATATATAAAATTCTGTGATTTCTGTTAGTTACACCCTCTAAAATAGCCATACATTGACTGATCAAAAGCATATTTTTTCCTCCAGAAAGAAATATTTACACATGTCTAGTTGAAAGTTGCATGCTCAAGAGTAAGAAATCCTAAGAATTTAGTAAAGCCACTAAGACACAAGGGGATTACAGGGTATAGAAGAATTAGGAATAGAGACATTGATAATAATGAGCAGGAAGAGAAAAGAATAATCAGGAGGGTAGTAGATAGCAATTGACATTACATTTAAATTTTTGCAGATCAAAGTTGTTTGGGAAGCATGGAATTGAAAGAGACTTCCACAAGTGAGAAGTTCAAGAAAAGAAACTATTCGCATAGAACTAAAAGATGCATCTCGTCAGCTCAACTGTAAATTGATGAGATTTTGATGCCAGTCTAGTGCTGTGCTTAAATTCAGAATTATAGAGAAGAGTTCATCTGAACAATTACCATGAAAGTAGTTATAGAAAAGTTACAGAAAGGCAACCTTATGGTGGTAGGAATGTGACTTAAGCTGAGCTGCCAGATCAGGACCAATAATATTGCTGATTTTTCTTTGGATTTTATGACTGAGCTCAAAGTAAATAGCAGAGGCACCTGACCATATGTGGCTGCAATATTCTAAGTATGGATGAATGGTAAAATATTGTAAGCATAGGCGAATTATTAAACAAAAAGTTATTAAACATATTATTTTATAGTATATTCAAGAATTCTACCAATGCTAGTAGTTTAGTTACATTGACATTGTCTTTCTTTTCCATTTATTGGACCCAAACAGAAAAATTTAAGAAAGTTATATACTAATTAAACACAAATTAAGCAATCTGAGTACTGGACAAAATCCTAAGTTTGTTCTAGAAAAAAATCATGTACAACATGACCTTTACAAAAAGAGGAATATTGACCCCATAGCTTAAAAATATAAATAAGTTTGTGCCTAAAAATATAAGCAAAAAAAACTGAGATGCTAATTATGGCAATTGAGGTATTAGACATTTCCTTATAAGGAAACATTTGGCATTTATTGACCGAGCAGCCAGCAATGCTTTCAGCTGAAGTTTATAAAATCTTTCTCTTAAAACAATTTTTCAGGAAAATAAGTTTTTTAACTTCAGTAGCTGTTATTGCTCTTTCCAGTATTGATGGGGGTTTTCTTCCCAATCTTTTGTTTGAAGTCGTGTGGAATGTCAGCATCTTGATTATGTCACTATTTTCTCTTTGAGTTATATGTGTTATCCATTTTAATTGTTGCTACTACTGGTAGTCCTCAAGAAATGTGGTTTTTGTTAATTGGCACAGTTCTTTGTGATACTGTAGTCCACAATGTTCAAAGAAGGATGATCCTTGTCAAGACCTTTAGGCTTCATTTGTTCAAGCCCTTTTTAACCATTGATTTTAGTAATTGGTTGTACACATCTGACAGTTTATATATTTCTGAATAGGTTTGATGCCATGCATAACATCCATATGAAAGTCTTGATCTGAGCTATTTAAGGACATGACTTGAGTTTTCAGGTTAATGTTTCAGTTTTCCAACAATATATTTATATATATATATATATATTTTCTAAGTTGTTTTTTGTGAGGTCTCTTTTGTGCTCATAAATGCGTTTTTTCAAACTTCTACTTGTTTCTCCAATATACTGGATATTTTCATATATATATATATATATATATATATATATATATATATATATATTCTGTTTATATGTTATTTTTATAGATACAAATATTTTAAGTAAATGCTCTGTTTATAATAAACAGTATTAACTACATTTACTGGCCTGAATGTCTGAGAAATTTTATAGAAAATATGTCCTCCAACAGGAATCAAACCTGTACCCTACACAGAACTATCATATAGCCTGATATTTTTTGTTTTTACTTCTCTTTTATTTTACATACACATACACCTGCCCGTATATGTTTGTGTATGTGTGTCTAAACACTACAGTTAGACTGTAAATATGTTTGTGTGTTTGTGCATGTGCGTTATACCTGTATAGCCATGAAACTTCAAAGTAAACATGAGTTAAGTGAAAAAAACTTTTACATATTAATTCTATTACCGCTGTATTGAGCACTCTACTACAAAACCTGCTTGCTTTAAATGCTTCCTTATCAGCAATCCACTGAAAAAACTCAGCAATTTTGACTTCAAAAACAGTATTTCAAATTAACACTATCTCTCTCTCTCTCCCTATATATATATATATATATATATATATATATGTATAAGTGCATAGGTATGCAGAAAATAGAAAAGAACACGTTGGGTGCATAATCCGGGGTTCCTTAGTATTTTTGTTTTTATTTTTATGAAGACAGTGTTCCATACAGAAGTAGAGCTTATATCATTTGGATATTTCGGCTATCGTTTTTGAAACATGAGAACTCTTATGTAGCGAAGGAATCATATTTTTAAACAAAAAATATTATTATATTATATTATATATATATATATATATATATATAATTGTGTATTTGGGCAGCAATCCCATTTTTGTACAACTTTCATTAAAAATGACTGACAAAGTACTCTGGTTATTTTTTTTATTTAATTTTTCTTGTGTTCTTATCAATTTCTTCTTTTCTGATGATAAATTATGTAGAAGTTGTCCAAATATTTTGTATGCCTGACCACTTCCAGTTATTCCTTTAGCCATTATCAAGGATAATTTTAATTTTACTTTTAACTGAATGTATGGATTCTTTTATGTATCTAGAATTATAGGAATGTTTTATTTTCCAAACACGGTCAGCACATTGTGGCTGCATTCATTTTGCTTTTGCTTTTTTATTAATAATGCTTCCATTATTTTTAGCTTTTTTTTACATGTAGATGAGGATATTATATTATCAATAAGTATGTTGTGGACATACAGAAAATTCAGACAGTGTAAATAGTGTAAATAATTACAATACCTCATCTCAGAAATATAGGCAGATACTTTTTGGTTTATGGTCACCTCACAATGGAACCCTGGTGTCTTGTAAGATTATGGAAATTAAGCAATGTTGAGACTGGTCAGTACCTTGATGGGTGACCACTTAGGAATACCAGGTGCTGTAAGATTAAATGTGTAAGTGGTGTAATGAATAATGATGGAGAACAGGAAACTAAGAAGAGCCAAGTTCCAATTCTTATTATTCACTTATACATAAAAACTCTTAGGAAAAGTATGAATCCACCTCTTCTGCCCATGGAAATGGGTTAATCCGTAAGACAATCTAAAAATAATTTCTAGCTTTAAATAATCTGCAAATTGGTGATAACACATATAAACAAATTCATCAATTACTAGTTTTACTCCATCTTATTATTGTTGCTTTTTAGGTGAAACATTTTCATTATTATTATTTTATTACTAGTTTTACTCCATCTTATTACTGTTGCTTTTTAGATAAAGCATTTTTATTATTATTATTTTATTACTAGTTTTATTCAATCTTATTATTGTTGCTTTTTAGATGAAACATTATTATTATTTTATTACTAGTTTTATTCAATCTTATTACTGTTGCTTTTTAGATGAAACATTTTTATTATTATTATTTTATTACTAGTTTTATTCCATCTTATTATTGTTGCTTTTTCGTTGAAATATTATTATTATTTTATTACTAGTTTATTCCTTCTTATTACTGTTGCTTTTTTTAGGTGAAGCATTTTCATTATTATTATTTTATTACTAGTTTTACTCCATATTATTATGTAAATTCTTCAGTTCCAAATATAAATCTACCAATACTCTAGCTTTTAAACTGTTCAAACATTCACAGCTATCATCTGGGCATTGCTGTCCTATCAGCTAACACATGTGCGGTGGGTAGCCGGACACCATTAACGTGACCTTTAAACAAGCAAATGAGTCTTGTGAGATTAATAGACTATGTTCTTGGTGGTATCATGAAATGTACCAAAGAATTAAGATGATAAGGATCTACTTCATGAAACCCCACAGAGAGGAAGACGGGCCGAATATTAAAGTCACTGACCTGTAAAAACACATCTGCTAGTAGTGACGTCCAAAATTATCAACCATCTTGCAGTGAAGTAATTCCAACCTTGAACTACTTAATCTGGCAAAGGAAGATATTTCTTCTATATTCTGTGTCTCTTCAGGATGATGGCAATCATGGCTCTCCTATCCTTTGTTGGTCTTAATGACATTTGTCTTTTCATCATCATTCCCAGTCACTGTTTTGCCATCCATGCTTGTTAGATAATTTATTCACTGTTTACCTCTGTCCCTCTTGGCTTCAGTATGTCCTCTGGGTGTCAAATTCTCCAAGCTGTCTTTCTTCATTATGTGTCCTAAAAATTTCAATTCTCTTTTTCTGATTCTAAGTATAAGCATCCTTTTTGCGTCCATCTTCCTTAAAACTTCCTTGTTACTTACATGTTCTGTCTAAGCTTATGGCCATATCATGTTGAAACACCAGTTCCTGTACAATCACCAAAGTGAAGCAACATTGAGCCTGGTCAGTAGATGGGTGACCACTTGGAAATACCAAGTGCTGTAAGCTTGGATGTGCGGATGGTGTAATGGATAATGACTTGGAATTATTAATCAAAATGCCAAGTTTCAGGTTCATTATATTCGCTTATGTGTCTTGGGAAAGTTATGAATCCACTTTTTCTACCCCTAGCTCTGGATTAATTAGTAAAACTTGTATCACTAAATTTTTATTATAACAAAAAAAAGATTCTTACAATATAAAAATATATTCTGGCTTTAAATAATCTGCAAAGGGTTGATAAGCCATAGAACATGGATCAATGAAAAATCATTCATGTTCAGTTCATGGTATTCTTAGCATCCTTCTGTAAAACCACATTCCTGCTGCCTCAAATCTCTTCTTCCACTGTGTGAAGATTGTCCAATATTCTCATTCTTTAGTTTCACTAAGGAAAGATAATAATGGTTAATATGTAAAAATCAGTGACAAAAATTCTTTTTATTGGTGATGACAATGGTGAAAATAACTGTTTCCATACAGGAAACAATAGACATTCATTGACCAAAGTTAGCATTATTGTTGATTGAATTTTAAAACAATTTTTTCTTAAACCAGTTTTTCAGAAAATTAAGTGTTTTTGATGATATCTTCCCCATTATGGGCATTATTATGCTGTACACCGTATTTCATGGATGGAATTGAATGGCTGAACGGAAAAGTAATGACAAACATACTTTGTTGTCAGAGAGACTTTTATACCATTAAGACATACACAAAACTATATATGCATATTTACTCATGTCACACACAGAGAATAATATATCATATATCTACACAGTCAAGCAGATTAAAAAGAGAATGAAAAAATAGGGTCTTACATATAATATGGAGATTCTTTTGTGTTTCTGGTGAAACAATGTTTAGAACTCCAGATTTAAATGGGCCCAATTCATTTACTATATCCCAAGTAAAGACATATTGTATGAACTGGAAAGGGTAAATCTTGGGTTTTCCCAAATTGAGGACTGCTAACTGATTTTTATATCTGGGGAAGATATATTGCCAAAAGGAATCAGCACCACAGGCTTGTAAGCTGTAGCATTTGACAGCTGGCTGCCCTGCACAGAAGCCCATGCAGGACAAACATGTGTCTTGACACCAATAAGTTTACTGACTGAATGAATGACTGACTACTTTTATCACTGTATGAAATGACGTCACTAAGCAATCATCACATGACCCAAGTGACTATCTCAACCAAAGTGTGTTAATCGCCTTTGGTATCTTTACAGATCCTCAAGTACTGATGGGAGTTTCCTTCCTAGCCTTTTGTTTTTGGTAGTGTGGAAAATTGACATCTTGATCATATCATTATTTTCTCTTCTTTCTCCTGAAATTTAAAAAAATTCAAGCCAAAAGCAATCTGAAATGTAGTGTTACTTTTGTTTGAAACTTGTAAAATCTGTTTATTAAAACAATATTTCAAGAAATTAGACTTCTCAAGTTCTCCAATTGTTATAATTATTTCTAGTGCTGATAATTTCCATTTTTTTTAGAAAAATATATATTCTGAAAAAAGAATCTGAAGACAGTAAATTCCAAACATTTTAGAGATATTAAAAACTGAGTATAACCCAAATAAAGAAGAGAGGGAAGAACGAGTTCAATGCTTAAAGGGAAGAGAGAATTTCTGTCCAAAATAAATTTAATAAATTTGATTGTTTCATTAAAAAAATGTTACTTAATAAGCAGACAACAAATATCCACCATCTTGAATCCTAATATTTTCCTACTGCTATGATGCAGCATGACCAGTAAACAGAACACCAGCAAAAAAATAGTAAGTTATAGTTTGTCTTATTTTTTGAGATGTATTTTTGAAAGAAATTTTTTTTTTAATTTAAAAGTAAAGGATTCTCTTTCATATCCATAATTTTGGCTGGAGAGAAATCAATGCTTTAATTTTACTGTTGACATGGAGAAATTTTGAAGCAATTTTTGTTTACATGATTTCAAACATTTCCCCAGTCTCATCCAAAAAAGAAAGAAAATGAAAAAAAAAATTCTTTATCTACCTTGTTAAATAAAAAAATGTTAGTGCGTGTTTGTAAATAAACAAAAACTAAACAAAAAAAATTCCTTCCAAAAATGGAAGAATTTAAAAAGTTTAATGTTTGATACTTTAAATTATAAAAAAAAGAAAGGATTTATTTTTATATTACTTTTGTGTTCAAATTTTTCTCAAACATTCTTGTTCCAGGAATAATGTTTGTTTTGTTGTTAAAAAAATTCCTAAGATTAACAAGAAAAAAAAATCCAAGATTCCATAAAATAACTGGAATTTTGTGGAGGAATGTAAAAAAAACAAAAAAAACTATCTGAATTACTCATAGGGCAGATAAGTACAATTAAAGTGGAGTTTATATATCAATGATGCTTCTGCTGTGTTCTTCATTTCTCTGTCAGCAGGGCATGAACTTATTGCATCGCCTACAGAGAGGCAAGACCCCACCCTACCAATCCTATAAAGGGCTTCCTTCCAGTTGAATATTTGTAGGCTTTAGTGTAAACCTGATCTATATCTAACTTTTCGACTAAAAAGAAAACATGGCATATTGACTCAGAGAATCTAGTGTGTAGTTTCAGTTGTTAGTATTTCTTTTTATCTGTAGCCACTTCATTTATCTCTTTGAATAAAATGGAATTGTTTGTCATAGTTCTGAGTTGACTGACCATAACCTGTTGCAGAGGCTCGTATTTATCTGTTTTCAAGGAAAAAATGTCTTGAAGTTTTTGAATTTACATGAACTGACAATAAGTGGCTGAACATTGCTCTTTTTATACATTGTGATGTGCTTTCTATGACACCCACAAAATTTTAATCTTATTTTTTTGTAGGTATCAAAAATCAAGTTATTTTCTCACCAATAATTTTTTTTTACTTTTTCCCATGCATTTTCAATTGAACACCAATTTTATAGATTTTAGGCTCATTCAAACACATTTTATTCTGAGAACAGAATCACCATATAGACATAGTAGAAAGCTTTTAGGGCTTGTGGGAAAATGAAATAAAATCAATACATAAAATAATAATAAAGAAAAAAAAAGAAAAAAAATACATTTGCTCATGATGCAGTCAATAAAGGAACCGAATAGTGTTTTTGGTCACCTGTGTGATTTTATGACCCAACTTCCATAAAGGACTGAACTTTTCTCTTTTCACTTTCTAATGTAGAACATCTGGACACATGCCTTGCAGCTCCACTCATAAAGTAAGTAATTTGGTTGTTCCAACTCAGTGCAAAGCGGACTTAGATTCAATCATTTTAACTAATTTTCACCTTACTTATTGTTGTAACTGAGTTATCAAAAACAACAGTAGAAAACTGGAATTGGTTTAACAAGTTGGTACAGGGAAACATAATATAGAATAGAAACTATGGAAGAAAATGTTTAGTTGTGAATGACTAACTGTTTTCAGTAAAGGATACTGTTGCTACTGCTCCTCCTGCTACTCCTCTTGATGTAGGAGTATCTTTATGTCTTTTGTCCGATGGCCACAACACTTGCCCTAACTTCTGGACTAGAAAAAGAAAAAAGGCATACCTAAGACACATTGAGAACTTTGTTTTCCCTACACCAATATAAGATTAAAGAATAATAGTAGAAAACTTTTTGTTGCTTCTACATTAATGTGAACACATGCACACCTACCATACACCAAGAAGCAACTTTTTAAATTTCATAGGCTCATCACAGTAAGATAAAGGTGGCCTTTTCTTCTTTTGTTTTTTTTCTACAGTAGCAACAATTCACCAGAGACCTCTATTGCTTCTACTCCATCCAAGAAATGTTGTAACAAGTGCACATTCTGCTTTATGCTTCTTCTCATTTATAAGAACATTAGATGAACTATTTCTCTCTCTTTTTCTGCTATCCTCCCTGATGGCTGGGGCTGTAGAATATCCAGATTCATTTTTTATGTCTTCTCAACCCTTTTTCAGGTTATTTAAAGCCAGAAAATATTTTTAGATCATAAGAATTTTTTTTTGATAATAATGGTTTAGTGATACAAGTCTTACTAATTAACCCATAACTGGGAGTAGAAGAGGTAGATCTATACCTTTCCCAAATGTTTTCTGTGTCTGGCGATCTATAATGCCTGAGGACAGAAACCTGGTGGGTGAGCAGTCCATGACATATAAGTTGTCATGTGACTGGCAACACTCCTCTTTGGTCCTACTTAGATTAGACAGGGAGTCAGACAGACCCCATCCAATCAATTGGCTGGTCATGTCAAGCCCTAGCACCTATACAATTAAGCCAGATAATGTCTCACAAATGGATCACATGATGATCTAACACGTAACCTTTCATTATTTTAAATGTACTAGAAGGCAATGGCTGACGGACAGTTGAGTCAAGAAGAAAAATATTTTGACCACTGTTTCATATTAAGGCATAAGAGTACTGATGTAGAAAATTAGTAGAGTTCTTTCATGATGTTAGTATACAGGTCGATGTATCCCTGTCTCATTCAAAGCGAATGGGTATAACCCCCTTGGTAAATTCCCAATAGAAATTAGACTCCTTTGTGGGTGGGGAAGCACAGAACCAAGAAAAAAACAAAAAACAAATCACATGGCAAACCCAAACAAAAAACTCAAACAGAATCTTTCTGACTAATTCAGAAATAGAAGCTGAACTGAATTCCCTAAATTCATCATAATTGAATCTCAAGAGGAAATATTTCTGGCCACTCTGTCTCCATTCCTAATAGAAAAAATAATTACCAGCAGGACAAATCCTCAAACAGTCAAAAAGAAAAAAAATGGAAAGTGGCAATCTACTATAAAATAAAGAAAAAAACATTCAGATAACTTACTTAAAATGAAATCTTTCTGCAATTTAAGACGCAGCTTACCCTCACAAAAGACTTAACACTTCAAAGGATATTAGAAATAGAGAGCTGTCCCTGGCTACACAAGAGGAAATAAATGTAGCCTTATGAAAACAAGGAGTCACCAACTATAGAAAGATAAGCATAAAAAGGGATTATCA